TGGAGGAAACTTAGCCTCATCAGCTAAGGAAGGCTCACTGGTGATTATTTGACTACAGCTCCATTTGTATCAGAGCAAAGAACATTTACTCATTAGATACAATGACTCAATTTCATATTCTGGAATTTGTGATTAAATGGCTTTTTAGAATATCACTAAGGAATTTCATCTCCATGTCAGCTGCAACAAGGCTTCTCAAAGCCCCAGAAAGACCTAGCACAGCAAGTGAAATACCAGCAATATGCACCGTGGAGTACGTGTGCAATCTTAGTGGCTGCAGAATGGAAGAACTAGGAGACCTCGTTTGCTGGGGGCCCGCAGGGCAAAGAACTGAACACCGCCGCCCCGATTCGTACCTTTCCTTATTTTCGGGTTTGACTGAACTTCCAGGATCACGGTCGTCACTGTGTCCGCGTACATGTCGTTGGAGGGGTTCGCCAGCCACTGGGGGCAGAGCCGTGTCAGAGCGGTCATGGCTGGGCCAGAAGCTGCCACCCGTCCCGTCCCGCCCCGCCCCGCCAGGGCTGGCTGGTGCCAGCACTTTCACTGAGCTCTGCTGCCTCGGCCACCGAAATTCACTGGTGAGGATTAATCCAGGAGGCTGACTGCGCTCATCTTTCAGCAAGGGCCCGACACCCGTTGCGGCAAGTGCTTTCTAGGCGTCTTATTTAATTCTCCACCATTTTCACTTTATAGAGAAGGAAACTGGCCCAAAACCTGCCTCGGGGACTGGCCCAGGCCCCAGGGCCGGGCAGCAGCAGTGTGGGGAGCAGGGACACAGATCGGCTCAGCCTACAGGGCCTCAGGCCCCCTAACATGCAGGTATCCAGTGCCCCAAGGGGGCATATGCCTCTGCTCTTCCTCTGCTCTTTATTATGTCGCCTGATGGGGCTTTTACAGCCACACAAAGCAGTTGAAAAGCTTCTCTGAGATGTCCTCTGACATGTTAACGCTGGGGAATAAAAATAGTCTAACAGTCTTTACTAACCAGAACTGAACTGAATCAATGTCTCCAGTAATTTGTTTTCTTGGATGTCAGTATTTTATATTTTACTGTATATAAGTCCATATTATATAAAAAATTTCCTGTTTTATTTTCAGTTATAGGTTTATAAGTCAAATTTAAACTTCAGTCACAGAAATGACAGATTTTTGCTGTTTTAAAAAGTATTATGTATGGGAAGAATAGTTGAGTATATCGCTGGGAAGTTTAGTTTATATTAGTTTTGAGGCGGAGAACAGGCAAGGTGACCCCTGTCCCGGGTCATCAGTTCCAGGCTAGCAGGCGCCAGCACATCAAAATCAACGATCACACTCACTTGATGTCTCATTCTAAATACTACCATGGGAATTTCAAATTGAACAGTAGAAATCAGACTGCCTATACCAATCATTCCCAGCCTTTGCAGATCTGGGTCATGTTAGTTATCTGAATCTTAAAAAGTACTCGATGACAGTTTTGTTTTGATGTAACAATGAGATTTTTATGTTGGGAATTTTAAGACCATTTGATGTGATGTGAGACATATGAGGTATCATAAAATCAGCTACGATTAACTCACAAGATCTCTAGTCATTAGCATACCAAATATTAAGCTTTAACTTGTTATTAGTTTCCGTAACTACATAGAAAATGCCTAGCTAGGTTATATTTAAAGCTGATCTGGGAGAGAAAAATAGGTACATCTATATTTTCCTGGCTGGAGAGAAACTAAATTTTCTCTACAATTACATATGAATGATGGAGCCTGTCACTGTGTCCCCCCCAACCCCTGATTAACTTACTTCTAATACCACCATTCCTGGTTCCTGTATCACAGTAATATTCTTGAACACTTTCAAAGCAGGCTTGTCTTGAATTTCTAATTCTTCTACATCACCTAAAAAAAAAGTAATTATGTTTTTTTCAGGGGCATAGCAATTCATTTATTTATAGCGACAGATGAAATAAAAATGAAGAAAAGTTAATACACCGTATGAATAGTCAGCTTGGAATGGCAAAGTAAATTTTATATTAATTGCTGAAAGCAAATGAAAGATCTCAATGCATATTAAAAATCTATGTAACTAGACAGGATTTACCTTGGCTATTCATTTAGCAGTAGCACACTGTGGAGAACATCAAACATCTGTACAAGAGATTCAGCTGCTGGCATGTGACACTGAGGAGGAGACTAGCAACTCCTGCTGACACCACTCAGACCTGTCTGCATAGGTCTGACCACTCCAAGGGAAATGACCTCTGGTCTTCCTGGTAACTTCTTCATTAAGGCTTAACTCAGACATATTAACTTACTATGTATGATCTACGATTCCAATGTGAAGTTCTGAGGGGAAAAAAAGTGCTTTCTACTGGTTAACTTTGTCGTAATACAGTGTGACCTACGGGGTGGAGGCAACTGGAAAGTGTAACTTGTAATTCGAAGCATTCTTGCTTATTAGTCTTCACCTTTTAATGCACACATTGCCCCTCATGTTAACACATGAAAACCTCTAGCGAAAGTGATCTACATGGAAATAAGAGGTTTATTCCTTTCCTGGTCTCGGCTGCTAGTTCCTTGTATAAACTTCCTAAAGCTTACTGCAAGGACTGGTACTGAAGGAACCAGAACATTATCATCACTGAATAAAGAAAACAAACAGACACAATTTAGGTACAGCAAACTAGATTTTAAACAAAAGGAGCAAAAACAATGGCTATTTTTTGAATTTTAAGTAGGTCAAGAATAAGATGTACTACAGCATTAAAGTTACCAGTATGTATTCAAATAAATGTAGTAATTGTGTGGTCCAATGAAGTACAAATAAAATTTGTGCAATTCTGAGACAGTGACCAAAATGACATAAGATGCTTTCCTCGATGTACAACTCTTACCCACCCCCGCCCAAAAAACAATGAAATAAATTTCAACAAATATACCCACCAGTCAATTTCTGCAGCTGGTGAAACAGCAAGTTAAAAGGTCCAGTGTATGGGATGGCTTGGGTCTGCTTCACAGTGCTCATGGCCAGGTCAGTGTAATCTGAAGGGAAATTGGACAAGGTGAGGCGGAACGCAGCAGCACAGACTTCAATCTGCAAACATCTAACAGGAGTGAAGAAAACTACGGAGAAGCAGCGCGAGCATGTGCTGAGGGTACACCTGACCCCACCTGACACTCCTCCCAACCCCCAGCACTTTCTGCTCCAAGCCTGGGAAGCACCCTCACCCCCCGGCCAGCCCCAGCCCATCAGCCAGCTGTCCTGTCTTCTTCCTGCTTGGCCAGGCCTGGCAAGTCCTCTCCACCTGGCCCACAGCTCTGTGGCCAGCAAAGCTCTTTCAGCCATCCCCAGCCCACTTCTCTCCTGGACACCGGCACGCTCTCCTCGCTGGCGCTGACAAATGCTGGGGCTCGCTCGGCACAGCCTGCGCGCCGGAGACATCCTCTCAAGGTCCAGGACTGCGCTGAACAAGCCCCAGCCCCCAGCGTTCCCAGGGAGGCCGGGCGCTGGGAGAGTTCATGGGTGCTGGACAGAGGAACAAGTTCTACCTGCTGGTGGGCTGATCTGCAAGTGACCGTGGCTTGTCTCAACTGAACACCTAAAGCGGGCTGCTACTGCTTCCTCTGTCGTGACACGCCTATGATTTATTTGCGCTAACAAAAGCCCCAAGCAGTTACTGCCTTGAAGACAGAGTCATGCTCACTGGGGAAGGGGTGCTGGCGCAGCGCCCGCAGGGAAATGTGTGTACTGGATGTGCTTCGGCTGGACAGTTATGGGGCTGCTTGGATATTTAAAGAAAGCGCCAACACCACGAAGAAATCAGGCTTTACGTCAAACTATCTTCCCGTCTAAGTTGACCAAAAGCTTCGTCCCCTGTTGTAACCATTCTTTTGGCGTGAAGGACAGAAAGGCCTCTAGGTGATGAACAACCAACGATGGGGAAGGGCCACCACGGCATGCGGGACACACGTTACTCAGGGGCCAAGACGCCGGCGCCCCGTCAGGGGCTTGGACGAGGCCCCCAGGGCGCAAGCAGGCGTCGCAGCCTGCTGTGGAAGTCTTCGGGGAAAAGAGAAGTTGTCTGACGTAGATCTGTGTTTCAACAGTGCAAGAAAGAGCTCCCTCCGCCCACCACAAAGCTAGCTAAATCATTAACGTCTGCCTATTTCTAGTTTATCGTTTGTTTGTCATTTAACATTTGGCTCAGAGCAAGAAGTTTTTGCAGATTTTGGAATGGTGCTGAAAGCCAATGCTGAATGCTAAATTCAAACTATACCTGACAGTCAGTAGAATACTTACTGGAGAGGTCACAAGGAGAAAGTATGTGATAATTAAAGTTTCTTTTAACAAGTATTCCTGAGACCCGCTGACCCTGTTCTGGCTTTTTGTCAGCTAAAAAGCCCATGACCTGTTAAAAGAAAAACACATCGATGACTGGATTAAAAAGACTGGCACATATACACAATGGAATATTACTCAGCAACCAAAAAAACATATGCCATTTGCAGCAACATGGATGGAGCTGGAAGGGGCCATGCTGAGGGAAATAAGCCAGAAAGAAAAGGAAAAATACCGAATGATTTCCCTTAGAGCAGGAGTATAACGGAACAGGTGAGAAAATAATGATCATGATGAACAGCTCTAGACCAGAGACCTTTTGTGGGGTGGAGTGGGGAATGGGGTCAGAATCAGTGGGGGAGGGAAAAGCACCGGACTGTGGTGATGGCACCCGGGTGATCTGGGGGTGGGAGGCCCACGGGGATTGCCACTGAGAGGGGAAAAGGCACCAAATGATGTAAAAATAAGCTATTATTAAAAAAAAAAAAAAAAGAAAAAGAGAAACACTTCGAAATAGCAGCTTTAAGAAAACAGATCCCTATGAAGTGCAATTACTCAGGGACTCCCTCATAACGACAGGTGCCGGTTTCACAACTAGAAAAGGACTAAAAGCCACTACACTCTGTACAGCACCCTCAGCAGACATAAATCGCCACTAGGGTCACATTCTGGAGCGCACAGGCTGCTGCAAGCAAGACGAGCGTGGGCCAGGGGCCTAGCCTCTTACCTTGGCGAGTTTCTCTCCTCTGAAGTTCAGGGTCACTGCCTCTGTGTTCCGAGGGTTATGCACCTCTATGTGAACTTCATCGTTGTCTTCATACTCGCGAATCAGGGCCGCTTTCAACCTGGCCATCTCATTCTGTTCTCCATGGACTAAAATCTACGCAGACAAATTTTCAAAGAGCACGAGGAAACATCCTTAGTTAAGGTTAATGACGTCCCTTCCTAATTAGAGAAATTCGTGCAATAGATGTGTACTTGGACTGATCATTTTACTATATTTAAGTACCTCTAGTTGCTCCTTCTTGCCTTTTCACTCTGTTTGGCTTTAAAAGGTCCTTAAATAGAATTACTTCAAGAGAGATCTTTTCTAGTCCAGTTCTTGCCACCGGGGGGGACCTCGCCCAAGCTCACACGCTCACGCTGCTGAAGGGCTGGCCCAGTGACTTCTGCACCTTACTGCGGTGCAGTGGACAGTAACAGGGAGGACACTGGCAGGGCTGGCAGATCTGAGAAAGGGACACCATGTGCAATGGAGAAAACTAAGGTGCAGGCCTCAGCTAGCTCACAGGGGTGCTGCCAAGGTCACGTCCAAGGGCAAGTGCAAGCACTCTGTTTGAGAGCCCCTTACACATGGTCTGGCTGACCTGTGAGCTGGCTGTGCTAGGTCTCCGGGTGCAGTCTCCCCAAAGCCACATTCACAGACTAACCACGTGAGGCGGTTTCAAAGCACGGATAAATTCGCTGGTTTGCTGGTAATCGGTGTGCGCACACCCGCAGGGAAATGTGTGTACTGGATGTGCTTCGGCTGGACAGTTATGGGGCTGCTTGGATATTTAAAGAAAGTGCCAACACCACGAAGAAATCAGGCTTTACGTCAAACTATCTTCCCGTCTAAGTTGACCAAAAGCTTCGTCCCCTGTTGTAACCATTCTTTTGGCGTGGAGGACAGAAAGGCCTCTAGGTGATGAACAACCAACGATGGGAAAGGGCCACCACGGCATGCGGGACACACGTTACTCAGGGGCCAAGACGCCGGCGCCCCGTCAGGGGCTTGGAAGAGGCCCGCAGGGCGCGAGCAGGCGTCGCAGCCTGCTGTGGAAGTCTTTGGGGAAAAGAGAAGTTGTCTGACGTAGATCTGTGTTTCAACAGTGCAAGAAAGAGCTCCCTCCGCCCACCACAAAGCTAGCTAAATCATTAACGT